GAGAATCGAACAAAATGAAGAAATAGGTATAAAACGCTTCGCAGAAGGCTTGACGGGTAGTAAGAACATACATGTGCTACGAGGTTCCTGTGCATGTCCTCATCGGAGTCGCACCGCATCCTTCAGAGGTAGATATGGCTGCCATTTGCTAGGTGGCAGAAGAGGAAAGAGGCTTCGTGGGTGCCACTGCTGCCATCTCTACCGCTGCTCCTACCACTGCGTAGCAGTACTTGAACTTGAGTTCCGCCGTTCTCCAAGGCTCTTCTTCCTTCCTGGGCTGGTTGATAGGCCCCGTGTCATAAGTCAGAGGCTGTGTGTTTGAGTTAAAAGCGCTTCTGAACTCACTTTCCTTCAGGCACTGCTTGTTCCTTTAACCATTGGAGGTGAGCGCTTTCCAGAAGCATTTTCCCTCAAGCTGGCCCCCTGGTATCCACCTGGAGAGCTGCCGCCCGCCGAGCTACTGCTGCCAGAACCCGTGATTCCTTAGAACTGGGAGCTTACCTAAGAGGTTAAGATTTTTAGTGTTTCACATGGCCTGTGGCCCTTCTGTGTCCTTTGCCGAGAGGACTGAGCCTAAGAGAACCCTCAGTGGGATCCTGGAGGAAGATGGCTTTGAAGGGAGTATCCTTCGAGAAGAATAGGACCGAGAGAGGCATCTGAGAGGATGCCTAACACTAACTCCATGACCCACTCGCCCAGATCATACAGCTCATTATTTAACCTTTCTGAGCCTCAGTTTTACCACCTGTAAAATGGAGACAATCCTAGAACCTACCTGTCATGGTGGTTATGAGGATCAAAGGAGACGATGCAAAACCAAGCACTCAGCCTCGGGCCTGGCACCCAGCAGCCACCAGGCGTGTGCCGCTTGCTGTCCTCCTCACCGTCACTGCCTCTGGGCAACGGCATTTGTTGTGTTCTCAGTTTCGTGCGGTGCTCGCCATGTTCTACTTCTGGTCAGAAGAAGTGACGCAGAGGATGTTTCTCTTGAAGTGAATGGCTGGGTTATGTTTGTGTATCATGAGCCTCCACAGGGTCTTTTTTCCTCCTCCTCTCCTTTCTGAAGGGTAGTGGGGGTAAAAAGCATGACTCTGTGCGGTTGCCATTTCTGCTCCTCACTCAGTGACCGCCAGCCTGTTTCCCTCCTCCTGGTTTGGGCTGTGTGACCAGCGCCGCCCCGTCAGTGTAATCAGAGCTGGGTTTGTTCTATGCGATTAATTTGTGGTGTGAGATGCCCATACAGTTACGCAGTTGACGCTCGTTTGCCCACATCCAGAATGTGCTAAATCTGCCACGCGTAATGAAATCCAAATAACTTGGGACCATATGTAGGGAATCGAACAATTTTCATCACAAGCGTAACGAGAGATGGATTTAAAGGAGGGGAATCCAAATGCCACGGAGGACGGTGATATCCCTACTTTCCTTCTACAGATGGTTCTACTGAGGGAAGCACCATTTTCGAACAGAAGCTTCTGAGAGCAGAAGGGAAGGACAGGGGCATGCATTATCGTGATGGCATCTGTGTCACCTGGACCCCCTGTGGGCCCTCCCAGGCTGACCAGACCCTCGGCTTCAGTGTGGCTTCCCTGGTATTGACACGTCTCCTGGTTAATAGATAACTCAGACTCTTCTCGGCAAATAATTGCTCTGCTAGTTATGTGCGGCAGGGTCTCCTCCATTATCAGTGGGGCCCCTCCAGTTGCAAAAGATCCCAGTGGTGCGTGTGTGTGTGTGTCTGTGTGTGTACCTGTAGCGTGAGCCCACACATCTCCTCTGCCTTCCTGAAAATGTAGGCAGGTCTTAAATCAGTCATTTCCAGGCCTGGCTGGCTGCTGAAAGACCTTGAGGCACTTTCAAAATTCATATTCTGGGCCCCACCTTGGACGTATTAAGTAAAAACTTAGAAAAGTAGGGCCAGAACATTTTTTAAATGCCCCCCCCCGCCCCCCCAGTGATTCAGATTTGTGAATCCATCATCATTTGGACACAGGTTTTGACGTATAGGCACCTTTCAGAATATGCATCAGGTGAAGGCCCCTTTGAGAGATAAGGTGGCATATGAGGCTGGTCTTCGAGGGTCTCATCTGAGCAGTGGGGTGAAGACGGGTTAGGGTGGCTGTGCAGGAGGCGGTGGGGAAGGGCATTGCCAACATTTATCGGTTGCTCTATTGTTTAATCCTCTCGACCGTAGGTGGCGGTGGTAGGAACACAGGCTGATGTTTACTGAGTGTCTACTAGGAGACAGGGCAAGATTTAAGTGGTTTGCAGGAGAAATACCATGACTGCCTATGAGGTATAGGTACTATTATTCATCCTCACTTTCCAGATGAGGAAACTGAGGCTGAGAGATAATTACAATGAGTTGGCCAAGGTGACGCACACAGCAAGTGGCAGAGGTGGGATTTGAGGTTAGCGCAATCAGACTTCAAAGCCCATGGCTTCCATTGCTGGAAGCTGGCTGGAATTTTCATCGCAATCCTTGGGCTGTTGGGAGTGGGTCATAAAAGAATCCTGTACTCTAAATAGAATGTCAGTTTTTCCAGAACGATCTGTTGTGCTATCTTTCCTCACCGCACTGCCCTCTGGCCCTCCAGCCCTGGCTTTCAGAGAACCTGGTTATTTCCCTCTGCAGACCCAGTACCCGGCTGAGACCAGGAGCTTTGCTAATCTTCTTTGAGCCTGTCTGTATTTCAGCCTGCCTTTTCTCTTCCCCCTCCTCCCCTGCCCAGCCCCTGAATGCAGCTCTCCTCCTGAGACTGAGGCCTAGAGTCAGGACCTTTCCCAATCAATCAATCAATCAGGTTCTGCCACCATGCAGTGTGCAGACTCCCTTAGTCACTTGTCCTCCAGTGCTTGTCCCGCTCTACAGCCCGAGAGGCAGACAGCTTCTTAGCTCGAGACTGAGGGTGTAGATGTGCAGCTCGAGGGCCTGGATTGAAGTCCTGGAGCCACCACCTCTTTGACGAATTGCTTCAGATCTCTGTGCCTCGGTTTGTCTGGAAGACGGAGAGAATACTGCCTGCCGCTTACGGTAGTTGCAGAGAGTAAATGAATCCTGCTCTATAAAATGCTTAAGACAGTGCCCGGCATGTAAATGTCTGGTGTGTTAGCCATCACAGTGATGCTGATGATAACAACGGTGACTATTTGAGGTCGGGGTGGGGGTCCTTGGTGACCCTCCTCACAGTAAGATGAGGGAGCCCTCTCCTATGAGAGCACATCTCGAGTATGATAGCGGGAAGATCAAAGGCTTTAGAGACAAGTCTGGGTTTAATCCCGGCTAAGCTGATTTCTTTTTTTATGTGATGCTGGGAAAGCCCCAGAGCCTGTTGGATTTGTTTTGTTTTTTAATCTACAATTTGAGGACCACAGCGGCACCCGCCTCGTGGTGTTGGAAAGGTGAATGCGAACACGGAAGCAAAGCACGAGCTTAGCTGGCAGCGAACGAATTGGGGAGAAAAACTGAGTTGCATGAACCATAAGCGAAAGTGAAAATCAGTCTCAAAAGATTACATATGGCAGGATACAATTTTTGTACAGTTAAAAACAAAGTTTTTTGGTTGAAAAGGACTGACGGCGTGTATCGCGGGCACAGTCAACACTGTACAAAGGAGGGAGTGGGTGGCAAACATGGGTGGTGGTTATGTCACGTGCGGGGAGGGAGGACCCTGCGGTTTAGATGTGGAGGGTTGTCGAGGTTCTAGCTTTGTTTTGGAGGTGAGTTCACATTATTTACAACTAAGTCGTACTGGTCATGAACCAGGGATTACGATACACCCAATTTGGGCATCCGAAGTGAAAAAAATCAGTGGGTTCTCAGTAGGTGGTAACTATCATTATCCCATGAACCAGCTGGACCACGCCATAGGCTGCCGTTTAATACCCCCTGAGATTGCCTGTCATCTGTGCAAAATACCCCCGGAGCCACACTTCTCCACCTTCAGCCACAGTGGCTTCCACACGGGGAACACGAGCAGGAGGGATAGTTCAGTTGCCTTGTTTCTTAGGTTTGTTGCAGGTCTTGGGCATAGGCTCCTGTGTGTGTCTAAAATAGTGGAACAAAGACAGGGCTGTTTTTGTCCTAGCTGGGCCAGATATAAAGGCTTTCATTAGAATCACTTTAGGAGCATTCATGTTAGCCGGGAGATTTTCTTTCCAAGGGAAGGAAATGTTTGGGTTGGATCTGATGGTGTTTGCTTTGGTATGATCTTAGACCTCTCTGCTTTCATTGCCACCATCCAGCATCATGACCTTGGCCTATGGCTTTTCTTTACCTGTGGTTCCTTCCCTTAACAGAAAGGGGAAGCATGGAGGGCATTTGAGACACCATAGTCCTATGCTACTGGGTCTGTGGCGTCTGGGTATAGATGACCCTCCCACCCCTCTCTGAACTTGACAAAGTAGAGGAGGTAAGAGTATAGGTTTTGGAATTAGAAGAACCAAGTTTCAATTTTTGGGATCTTCACTGTGTGATCTGAGGTGCAGGCATTATTTGGTTTTCCTTATTTTAAGGCCCTTATCTCATTCAGCCCTGACGGAATTTTACTTAGAAATTCACCTGGGTAATCTACCGTGGCGAAGATCAAAATCTAAAATACTTCCATCCCAGGAAGTGCCCTTGTGGTCCTTCCCTGTCTGGACCGACCCCCCACCCCAAGTAGCCATTATTCTGACTTTTGTCACCATCTGTTTGGCCTGTTGTTGAACTTCTAGGGGTGGGAATATCATCAAACCTTTCTGACCCTTTTTTTTTTGTTTGTTTAGGTGTTTTTAAGTGAAATTGTAGTTCTTGTGTTGTAGTGTTAAGAGAAACAAATGAGACAACACATGTAAAATCTTAGTAAAATATTTGTAAAACAGTTAGCACTTAATCAGGTAAAGCGGTTTATTGTTTATTAGTGACATGGTTGACTTCAGAGTCTTTGCCTATTTCTCACCTGGAGACGCAGGCTTTTCCCCACCAGCGCTGGCTGCAATTCCTGTTTCCTGTGCCCTTCTGTGCTCTTCCGTGCCCTGTGACCCCCTGAATGCACTTTTGAGGTTCTTCATGCTGTGGCTTACAGGGTTTCTTACCAAAACCAATTCTTCTTAATAAGGCAGAGGAAATGGGCAGGAAAGCAGAGGTCAGCTGCTTTTGCCTCTTTTTTTATTTTTATTTTTTCCAAGAGGGTCTGTTTGTTCTATTAGCAAAATCAACAGAGGTGCTGCTGATGGACCTCCCGGGTGGAGGTTCCTTGGACGCTGGCTTGGCTGAAATGCCAGGTGGTGGGTCATTGTGAGGTTTCAGAAGCAGTAGGAGGAGACATCTCTTCCAGTTTTTCAGAAACAAAAAGCAAAATAATCTTCTGTGTTTGCCTAAAATTCTGCGATTGTAATTTAATTCCTTAGGTCAAGGTGGGGGAGACACTAATACCCTGAGTTTCCTGGGGGGGGGGGGGACACTGTGTTTTTACAATGTCTGATTCCATCTGACCTCAACCTGAATGGTTTTTTATCATGTCTTTTCCTGAGGGTAGGCCTTCATGAAGGAGAAGGTAGAACCGAGTGGTTGGTGGGTGGGAGTGAAGGGCAGAGGGCAGAGAGAGGTTATGAAGGCCATTCCATGGATTTGTGGTGGGGTCCAGGGCTGGGTCTACCCACAAGACACTGAACACATATTTACAGAACAGCAAATCTTGTGTGAAAACGCGGGTGAAAGTTCCAGGCCCTGTTCTCAGGGAGAGGCTTCCAGTCGGGGAGCAAGAATTGAACACGCGTTTGTAACACAGTCTATTACATGCTGTGCGTGGAAGACCATGGCCCCTAAACCACATTTGGGGGTGCGGGGTTATCACAGCCCTGGAGGGTTTGGGTGAGGTTTGGGTGAGGTCTGAAAGATCAATCGAAGTTAACCCTCAGACGTCTAAAACATGCGACTCACATCAATGTGTCCTTGGGACCCTCAGGAAATAGGTTTCCAAGGATAACTTCCGTCCACCCCATCAATGAGGTTTTGGTTTTACTGAACTGCTTGACACTTTTGCTGGTGGCAGGGCTGTTGATGTTTCCCCCCCACACCCCACTCCCACCCCCAGCAACCTTGTAGCCCCTCTGTTCTGTGCAGTAGAATGTTGAATACACAGGCCCTCTGATTCTGCAAAAGATTTTCATTTCCCTGTGAGGTGGGTGAGAGAGGCTGGGAGGGGGAGATCCATTTATAAACTGAAGACTTTATTAGTCAGAGTCTATGAGCAAGAGACTGACTCTGCCACAGAACCAGAAGAGGGATGTGTTTGTCATGGGAGAAGATACCCACTTGGCATCCCTCACGTGGCCAGGCATTGCATCTGGGGCCGGTATGCCAAATTTCTGCAGTTGCCATGGGACCCAGACTTAGACAGGAAATCATGGTAGGATGGGAAGGAGTCCAAAATACACACGGCTGGTATACAGGCCGCAGTTAGAAAAGAGAGTGAGAGAACAATCTATCTCTTTTCCTGCAGGAGTGCTGCAGAATCCAATGGGCTTGTTTTTCCAAGACTCCTTACGTTTTATGGACCCGATTTTCAAGCTTTTAAGTTTTTCCATATTAAGCGATACTTGGGTTATTTGAAGTGACCTATTTGTATGCTTGTGGGGAGCGCTTCTTAGGCCCATTATGTGTTTGTGTTTTGTTTTTTAAAGCTCCCAGATGAAAAAAAGAACCAGTGTCCCTTTAGTTCGGGGGGACGTTTTTTCCCCCAGAACCTAGAAGGAATATCTTTTTGGTTTGACCACAGCCGTCTGTTTCCTGAGAGCAGCCCATTTGAAACCCCACACTCCCTCATTTTATGGGATGTGCTAGTGGAAAATAGGGGGGTCCGCTGTTAAGGCAGCCCTCCTCACGACTGGGTTTCTTGGAAATCTCTGCTGCCAACTCCAGCAACTGAAATTTCTCATTCATAAAGAAGCACCTTTTCATCCTGCCCATGAAGTTGTTAAAAGAAATAGAAAAATCAGGAAGGGGATCTTACTTGCACTTTTGCAGATGGAGCTCTGGAAAAGTTCAGAACAGGCCAGACTGTTCATAGCTTGGGAATAGTTCCAGGCCTCCAGAGGAACATTTAACAGGTCGCTACTGATAGAGCTTTCCGTGAACTGCCCCGATCTCTTTCTTGGGGAGTGCGTTAACCTGTTGAGGAAGTGACAGTTACAGCACGGGGCCGGGGGCGGGGGGGTGGTGCACCCCTGTGCACACACACTGACAACTGTCTGCCTCTCTGCTGGGTCAGGTAATATCTATCAGCTGAATTCATTTCACTGAGTTTATTGCCTTTACCCCACACTATAATGGTATAACCATTGCCGGTTTAGGAGTGAGAAGTGATGGTGATAATCACTCATATGGGTACAGTGCCTTACGGTTTTTGCAAAGCGCTTTCTTTCACTTTCTTCCTCATTTGATCCCCACTATCGCCAACATTTATTGAGTCTTTGCTGCAGACCAGGTACACTGCTAAACACTTTACAAACTTTACCTTATTTAATCCTTGAAACAACTCTACGTTGTTTCTATTTTATAGATATGGAAACCGGCTCAGAGAGAGTAAGCCTGTGACCCAAGATCACACAGCTAGTTGAGGGTGGACTAGGGATTTGAACCCAAATTTACCCAATTCAAAGCCCATGTTGCTAACTGCCATGTGGTACTGCCTCTATTCTCCCTGTATTCGAGGCAGATGGCTTCGTTCTCTTACTAGAAGACACTGAGGATATGTTTGAGTTCCCAGGATCAAGGTGTGATCCAAATGGGACCAGAAGTCAGGTCTCCTGAGGGACCAGTACTTTGTCATTACCTAAGACCTGTTAGCCTGAGCAGTGTTACCTAAGTAAGGTCACCAGCCTTTCTCAGCCAGTAGCTATTTGCTTTTCCCGAAATGGCCATCCGTGTGCACATCTTCAGGTCGGCCAGATGGGAAGGATTCTGGGAACCCAGGGCAGTGTTCTCACATTCCAAGTTATTCGAGGCTGAGAAGCCATAACATTGTTACTCACAAGTCCACTTGAGTTTACAGTTTCTGTGTTGGGACTTTTTGCAGGTTGCAGACACATTTCAATGTGATTAAAGAAGAAAGACCTACACTAGCTTATTTAAAAGTCCTGAAGTAGGGCTGGCTTCAGCAGTGCTTTGATTCAGGGGTTCAGTAGTATCTTTGAGACCCTGTTCCCTCTGGCTTTTCCCTCTTGATTCTACTCCTGGGTTGGCTCCATCACCCATCTGCTTGTTTCTTGTGATTATGAATGGCCTGCCGCAGCCGTGGCTTTAAAGCTTTTTAGCAAAGGGAACGAGTCAGCTTCCCTGGCAGCTCAAACAAAAACCCTGGATTTGTGTCTCTTTGGCCCCTGATTGGCCTGATTTAGGTCTGGGGTCTACCACTGAGCCGGTCACCGTAGTCCAGTGGCCACCTGCGGCTCCCAAGCTGGGACGGAGGGCTGGGAGCCCTCGTGGTCTGAGAACCTAAGTGGGCTCTGGGTAGACAGACGAGAGGAGCGAATGCGGTAGAGACCAGGCACTGTGGCACCTGGGAGGCAGGAGGTAGGCTGAGAGATGAGTTGGATGGAAAAACCATTTTTATGGAGAAACACATCTGCCGCATTAGGCTGGGCGAGGGTAACTTTTTTATTTGAAGAGCATTTCAACAGACCATTAATGAGAACGGGAAGCTCACAAGTATCTTTTTGTTGCAGCTATTAGAGCAATTATTATTTATTATATTCACGGACTTCAGTGTATATCTGTTCTGATGTATCCTTTCTGGAAGAAAAGCACTTTGGAGTGCCTCTTAAATAGTCAGATTATAGGCTTGAGGGAAAGAGCCATTAGGTCCCGAAGAGCTGGCGACTGGGCTTATTTCTGTCCTAATGGTGTCTTAAATTATGCCAGATGCATTGAAGTGCCACTTCTCATTTCTTCCACTCGGTCTCCAACTCCATGCCACCTTGAAGCGCTTCAGGTTTTAGTGAGACCGGTCTAAGCGGCACATTGTCAGCTATCACAGACAAGTTCATCTCGCAGATCCCTGTTTTCACTCAGCTGCAGGTGGAAGGTGTGATAATATCAGAGGCCACAGGTTTTCAGAATCCGAGATGGCTTGGTGGCTGATTGGCTTTCCATTTCTGAACTAAACCGGAGAAGAAGGGCTGTTATTAAATGTCCTTTTTGAAGTAACTATACAGCTAACAAGATCCAGATAGCGTGAATGTGTAGCCAACAAGGTTCCGTGAATGCCTGCCCTGGGTGGGCATCTTGTTGGCATCATGGAGGACACAAAAGGAGTAGTTTCTGTACTGGAAGAATGAAGGATCTTGTCGCTGATCTTCTGTGCAGGCCCAGAGCAAAGGACTTTGTATACCTTGTTTCCCAGAATCCTCTCGACCAGGAGGAAGGCAGATACTGTGTTGCAGATACTATTTGCAGCAGAACCAGTGGTGGCTCGGAGAGGTTAAGCGCCCTGCCTCAAGTCACACAGCCAAGTGAGCAGCAAAGCCAGGCTCACACTGGGCTCCCCCACCGGCTGCACAGCCTGAGTGCCTCACCCCGGGGCCGTGGACGGAGCCTGTCACTGCAGGATTTCTCACAGTCCAAAAAATGAGCTCTCCCTTGATAACAGATTTCATCACTCATGAAACTGCAGGCCCGGGAAGAAAGAAGATTGCCTGACTGCTGAGGCCAATGCCTTTCCAGAAGGAGGATACTGGGTAGGCCTCCCGCCAGCGTGTCTGACCCACGTGATGCCTCCATCTGTCTGACTTCTGACTCTGAGCTGCCGGTCCAGCCTGTCTGCAACCTGGACAGCAGGACCAGTCCGAGTGCAAAGCAAATCTTGATGTGGGAATCGGGTGCGACCAGAGTTGTCCAAAGCTGCCGACGGCACCCGTCACCTTGGTATTTTCACACACTGTGTGGATGACACGTTGGAGGGCGCGGGCAGTGTGGAGGTTGGTGGTGTGAAGCAGACTGTGAGGAGCTGGGGATGGGAAGCCAGACGGCAGACAGAGCACATCCTACCCGCACACACGCCGCCAGGGGCTTGTTTAAACCAGATCCGGCCAAGGTCGTAGAAGCAGAAAACAGAATCCAGAACCCTTTCTTCTGTGCAGGATCACTGGGTTTTTAAAAGGCTCCCCCCCCCCCCCCCCCCCACCCCCGCCTGTAGTTTCTCTTGGGAGAAATGTGAGAGGGGGTGGTGGAGAATAGAAGCGAGGGGATTTTTGCCCCAGATCCTTAAGAGCAGGGATGTATTGCCCCACGAATAGCGTGATGCTATAGAGTTGGGAGTCTTACCCCAAAGAATGAGGGTGGAATCCTGCACTGGGGTGGCTTTTTCAACAAGGTACTGACGCCCATGACTTGGGGTTGTTTTCCCTCAGAAGCTGATGGAGACCAGAAGGGCACGGGGGACAAGGAGAGATTCCCGAATGTGCCTGAGGCCTGGGAGCGCTAGTAGGCGGGGCGGCCGGGCCCACACACAGCTGAGATCGGGGGACGGAGTGGGGACGAGAGGGTCTTTCTGAATGGCTTCCGCCTCATCCTCCCAGAGACTTCCTCTTTTCCGATACTTTATGTAAAAGCTGGCATTGTAATGCCCCTCTCTGTACCAAATAATTATCTTTGCTCTGAAGTCTTCTTTATCTGAGATTAATTATAGCTATGCCAGTTTTCTCCTGACACATGTTTACATATTTTATATTTTTCTATACCTTTAATTGTAACTGGTTTATATTATATACTAAGTGAGTTTCTGGTAAACAGCATGTAGTTGCATTTCGGTTTTTCTTTATTCTCACCATCTCCGTCTTAACTGGTGTGTTTAGACTCTTTACATTTTAATGTCATTACTGGTATATTTGGATCTAGGTGCTACCTTTTTTTGTTTGTTCCCTTTGTTTTTCTTCCTGTCTCCTTTTTCCTGCCTCTAAAGGCACAAATAATCTAAACTATTTGAACAGTTTTTAGTATTGTGTTTTATCTATTGTTTGTTGTTGTTGTTGTTGTTTACCGTGTCTTTGTGTATTTTTTTTTTTTAATGGTTGCTCAAAGGTTTAAGGAAGATGTATATTTACATTCTCACATCAACCTAGAAATCGTATCTTCACACTTCAAGGGCAATGTGGAATGCTCACCACCAGGCAGGTCCCTTTACCCTCCATGTAAAATCTAGCTTTAGAGGAAATCATTCTAACCCATCAATCAGGTAGTGTAGAGAGAGGAGGAGCGACTGGAAAGAATGAAATTTGGTTTTATCTCATTTCTTCATGCATTCAGTAACATTGATCTAGCATCTAACCAGGCAGCAGAATCCTCTCCCTTCTCGGTTGGATAATCCAAAGACTAGCCTCAGTAGTAAGAGTAGTAGTATTAATAATAGCTAACTTTGGGCACTTACTATGTGTTACGCACTGTCCCAAGTCTTTTACAGGCAATATGTTATGATTCCGACGACCCTATACTGTAGGTACTGTAGTGATCTGCATCCTATAAGTGAGGAAACTAGAGCACAGAGAGTTTGACTTGCCCAGGTCACCTAGCCAGTAAGCAGCAGACTTCTGACCCATTGATTTTATCAAAGGCTATCAAGACTCTCAGAGGGTCTTGATAGAGGAAGAACATACTGGAAGGTATGCAGACTCCTAGTCTGTCCCGGGGATCTTACCCTCTCCACCGTGTTGGGACCTCCCATTGCTAGAGCCTACTGATGGTCCACTAAGAGGTTCCTTTGTGACCCGACTGGGTCTCTTCCCCTCCTGTAAACACTGATGGGAGACCTTCTCTGTGCCAGGACTTACGCACATAACATCAAAGCTCTGAAAACGGACCTTGAATCGGAGGTCAGAACATCTAAATGTAGCCTAAGCAGTGCACTTTTCAGGTGTGGAATCCGAGGTGGGAGGCCAGCAGCCTGTCCCTGGGCAGGTCCGTCGAGGCCACGTCTGGACTGGGCATAGGTCTCCTGATGCCTGCTTTTTGGTCTCTGTGCTTCTGTGTGTTTTCCTGGCAGAAAGGTGTGGGAAGCCGAGGACTAGCAGAGCTGGAAATTCTGATGTGTAACTGATGGGGACAGCCAGCAGTCCCCACAGGGGAGCCCTTCCTCACATGCCAAGCCTCAGAAGGCTTTGGCAGCCGGGCTGAGCTATTTAATAACCTGGAGGCTGATCCAGTGGTCTGGCAATGTCACTCGCCAAGGCCGAGGTTTATTTGGAGCCTTCGGTTTTGCATTTCCTGAAGAGGCAGGAATGAACCCCAGAAAGAAGTACCGGGGGGCTGGGGGGTAACTCCATCGCACTGACACCTGCTTTCTGATAGCAAGACCTCGTCTGGGAATGGCAAGTGGAGGCCACCTCACGGACCAAACGTATTCAATTGACAAGAACTGCCTGGAGCACCGTGTTGAATCCAGGCTCAGCAGGAAGGATTTGGGGGTCTGTTGGTGATGCCCGTCATGGGCCCAGGAATGACCTGGAAGCATGTATGTCAGGTGTTTGTCACCTTTAGTGTGCGGAGGTTAAACAAGTCTTGGACTTTAATTGTAGCAATACACCTGCCCTCCTAGGCCTGTCGTGACAGTGACATGGGAATACACGTCAAGTGCTCACTAGACAGCCATCGTTCTGGTTAGTGTCCGTGAGGGCTTTTAAGAAGAGTGAGAATTTGATTTCTTCATTCACATGTGGAGAGTGCCTTCTATACGTGCGGTGCTGTCTGGCATCGGGGAAAGATTGCACGAGGTATGCTAGGTCACTCTTCTCATGGAGATTGTTCCGGATGGGAGAAATAGGTAATAACTAGTAAATACATAGGGTTAGGTCCGGGGGAAAATCACGCTAATAAAACAGTTAAAAAAATAAAATCGCAGCGGGAGTGAAGCTAGAGTGAGGTGGTGACATCTGGACAGAGGTCTGAGTGTGAGGAAGAGCCAGAAATGCCCGAACCTCGGGAAACCTCCCAGAAAGAGGGGAGAGAAGGTGCGAAGGGCCTTGAGGAGGAACACCAGGCTGATGGCACGGTAAGCTCTCTGAAGGCAAGGTCAGGTAATAGCACACCTTCCTTACGAAACCCTTGTCGTGAAATATTTTTAAACATTGAAAAGAGTAGAGAGTTATGTAATGCCTGACTGGATATCCATCGCCCAGATTCAACAGTTAGCACCGTTTTGACACTGTCTTTATGGCTCTACTTGGCTGAAATAAATCAAATCCCAGACATCATGGCATTTTATCCGTAAATACTTCAGTACATCCTTTGAAGAAACAAGGATTTGTTTAGCTGTTACGTAGCTTCCTACATTTTTGTTACAGTGCCACTGTCACAATAATCATTCCTTGATATAACCTAGAACCTAGTCCATATTCACATTTACCCGTTTGCCTCAAAAACAGCTTATATAAGTTGGTTAGTTTGAATCAGATTCCAAACAAGGTCCGCACATTGTAAACTGTTGTTAACCCAAATGTGTTTCCGTGATGGGTAGAATTCTGAGAAGGTATTTGACATCAGGCCTGCATATTGGGATGCGTTTGCATGCCTTTCTGGCCTGCTGTGTATTTTAAATCATTAGGAGCCCCAGAGGACTGTGGACTAGTGTACGTATTGTTGGATTCTCCTCCAAACCGACATCAGAACACCCCCACCCCATCCTTTGTTCTTGTTGACCGAACTGTGGCTCTGTGTTCAGGAAGCAGAGGCAAGAGGCAGAAGGGTCTGGGCTTTCCCTTCTGGTCCAGAGGTGGGTCCCGACTGACCTGACAGTTGTGGTTCTTGTCCCCCTGAGCAGCGATTGATTTAGGAATGGACCTGTGACCTAATTCAGGCCATTGAGGGAAGTCTGAGGGGTGGGGCTTTTGGAAGGGTCTTCCTCTCAAAGGGATGACCCAAGCGTGGGATTCTCTTCTTTTCAGACTTTTGGGTGTCTTTGGGGTGTCTGGAATTGTGGCATCAGCCATCCAATAACTATGCAGGGAAAATGGGATACAGCCAACCATCCCGATGCAGACGGAGGGGAAAAAAGGCAATAACTAGGATCTTTTGATGATAATGTTGAGCCACAGAGGCAACCAACCGTGAAACTCCCCTACCTGAGATAACTTAAGAGCTAATAATGCCCCTTGCCGTTTAAGCCACTTTTTGTTGCTTTTTGTCGTTTCATACCCAGAAGCATCCCAATGAGACATTCAGTTCACAGGTGTCTTTCTGGAAAAAGAAATATCCTCCCTGATAGGTTTTAATTTTCTTTGGGTCATAAAAGGGGAACCGACCTTCAAACTCTCCTTATCCTTCTGCTTAAACCTCTGTGTTTGTGTTTTTTCAAAT